GATGGTTCCAAATCAGATGACTCTGTGGGCTCTGCCATGGTTTGTTGTGGCTCAGTGGTTGCTCACAGGATCCTCTCTACACTTTCTGTGTTCACTGCCGAGTTGTATGCCATGTAGAAGCTATCCAGTACACTGATTGTACTATTTACACTGACTCTCTTATCTCTCTCTACTGGCTCCGGAATCACTTAACATTAGTTCTCACCCTGTTCTCTTCGATATTTAACAATGACTGGCCCATTTTTCTCTATCTTCTGTTTCCATCCCGTTTTTTCTCAATATTTGGCTACGTCGGTATTCATGGTAACAAGCTCGCTGACACTGCAGCTAAGTCTGTCTGCTCTGGTGCCATGCCTGTACCATACATGGACTATGGTCCTGTGTTGAAGGTGCGGCTTTTTGCCAGTTGGCAGTCGACTTGGAATGAGCAATGTGATAACACATTTTTTCCAGATCAAACCTTCTGTTCCTTAAGTATCGGAAGGAAGAAGTTGTCCTGCCTGGGCTATGCATTGGTCACAGTTTTTTAACTCATGGTTTTTCTTTTATCTGGTACTGACCCACCAATGTTTAACCTTTGTGACACTCAAGTCACAATAGCCCACATTTTACTGTCGTGCTGTCCATGGGCTGTGGCACCATTTTCAACATATACATTCTATGGGTTTACTCCTGATGTTGGTCATTGTCATTGGCGATGGTCCAACTTGATCATGTTTTTAACCTTTTGTGGGTTTTAGGCCTTTTTAATTCTATTTAAATGTTGTTACTTGATGTTTTTTTGTTTTTTTTAACTTGGTTTCTTTTTACATTTTATATTTTACCTTTGTAATTTTTACCAGTTGTCTGGCACAGATAGTCCCATTGCTTTGCACCATAAAATGGCAAACAACCTTATTTCCTACAACTTATACAAATATTAATTTTATGACCTGTATTTGCACAGTATGGCAAAATCAAGAATACTCCCCTTAAATAAAATAATAAAATGAAAGTCAACGTTTTTTTACTTGCACAATAATTTATTTGTAAAGTTCTAAAATATATAAGTTCTTGCTACTCCTTCCTTAGCTGTCAGTAGCCAATTGTCTGTCTGTGTGTTTCATACAAGCTACACCAAGACTGAGGCAGCTGCAGTTTTACTCGAGTTTCCTGCATGGTCCTAGTGTAGACTGGTTTTACATGAAAATAACTGAAAAGAAAATAATTAAGCCAGAAAATAACATTTCCCTGTCCTTCAAATAGTGGGAGGGAGGGACGATTTGCCATACTTCAAAAATTGTGTTGGACATGTCCCTTCTGTAAATTACACCTATGTTGGAAACTGCATTTGTTTTTCATAAATAGCTTAAACCTCACAAGGGTATACGGAGTTACATTCAAAATTTAGTTAAACCACTTTAATATCAATGTATTTTAATGAAATTAACATTATCATGTATATTATAATTAATTTTTGTATTATATAAATATTAATTCCTTTATTTCAAAAGAAACCTCTAAAAAAATACTTAAAACTTAATTTTTGTTGTTGCATGATACACAAGTGGTCAAATTTTATTACTTGAATAATACTCCACCTGCAGTGTACTTGTATATATAGACTCAAACTATGCATACAGGGATGTTTACCGATCAGTTGTTTTAAATTTGTTTGGGTCAATTCAAAGACATGCCTACCTTCTATAGTAGAAATAAAACTTCTGAGCCACCCTCTACTTATTTGAAGTACACGTTTATAACCAAAAAGTTAAAAGTTAATTTGAAACAACAATATTTTAATGGTTACTTTAAAACTGGCGAGCATTATTTATTAACAAGTGTCAACCTGCTCTTTAGCATTGTTGGAGGTTCATCCTCACAAGTACTTAGTTTGTTTTTTTCTCACTTTTTAGATTCATATTTGAAAAGTTTAATAATTTTCTTAATATAATCAAAATTTTGCCTCACTCTGCTGATGAAACCATTATATTGCCTACTGGCATCTGTTGACTTGTCTCAAGATGAATAATAAGCAGTAAAGGCAAAAAAATATAGCACAAACATTTACCTTAAGAAACATTTTGATGTTCATATAAGAAATTCCAGAGGTTATGCAAGTGAAATTTGAAAACTGTAAGATAAAAAATATATATATTTATAATTAACATGAAAACCACCTTGCACTTGAAATGTTCAGAACCTGAGTACAAATAACTAGAATAAATAATGAATTTGTAATAGAAATAATAGAAAAGTTCAAAACTAATTATTTTATTTTTCTGAAACTACATATCTTTAGTAAAG